AAGAACAGACTGAAACGTTTCTCTCCCTTTCATTATTTATTGAAAGTCAAACTGTATTTCCCTTCCTCCACACACCAAATTACATCTGCCACCTGATTTTCTGCTATCTCTTACCTCTTAATCGTTTCCTCAGAATCAGACAATTCACTGGTGCGACAGGACATTCAGGTAGTGCGGAAAACTATCTGCTAGGTCTATAAACAGTAGCAATGACACTGGTGTAAATTCAGATCAATTCGGTTATGCCGTTATGAATGCACACTAGTTTAAAAAGAATCACCATGAGGCTCGTTTATCTTAGAAAAGTGATTCTGTCTCATTCAAGATTCTTGTGAGCCGTGGGCAGATTCCCAGACCTGCAGGTATCAATCTGGTCCCAGGTGATAACCCATTAGAGGAAATTTGCAGGTGGGACTGAAGGTTGTCCACAGTGTCATATCTTAATGTAATATATCAAAGTATGTGGAGTGAAAGTTGTTTACAAATATGCGTTATAGGTTACAGAAAGGGAACAGACCAACTTGTTTGGAAACTGTCATTTAGGTGTAAATCCTAGTGTGTTGAACACAGTTTTATGCCAGAAAACTTAGCAGCATTTCCATTCACTCCCCTGGTTAAAATAAGCACAAAACTACAGACTGCAAGTTCAAAATCAGGAGCATGTTAACCACCATTATCAGTTTTAGATTTACTGTTTTTCCTTGCCATTGAAGAGAATTTTTCATGTCATTAAAGAGACTTGACTTTATAAAGGCTTACAAAGGTTCCTAAAGGCTGTTTCCAAACCACATATATTTGTAGGGATGTTTATGTTAGTATTTGATACCTCACTTGAAAATATTTTAAATTAAGGCAGAACAACGTACCACTTCGGTATAATTGTAAGACGAAATGATGACAAGACCCATTTGATATCTTATTGCATACAAAAGCACCCCTCTTTTTAAAGCTCAGGATTCATAACTCTAGAACCACCACTAAAGCTATTGTATTGCTTTTTAAAACATAGAAGTCTTGCATGCAACCTTCTTTCTTTTTAGCACATTTGCTGTCACACCAGCATCAATTTCCCGATGAGCCTGCAGAAGCATCTGTCTTTGCAGAACTTCAGCTTACAATCCTGTAATTAATTTGTTCGGAGACTGGCTGTTTAGAAGTAACAGCTCTTTACACTAGAGAGGAATAGGATCTAATTTCCAAGAATAATTGTTATCTTAGTTTTCTTTATTATATTTGTGCTTTAGAAAAATCTACAATTTCTCTTCTACGTAACCTCCTCAACTTTTACCGATTGCTGTACACTGTATACTGCAAGCTATATTGTTTGCTTATGGTTTTTGTTGTAAAGCAATAGATGAGGAGCTCAGCATGTCTGTAATTCTAAAGTTTCTAAATTCTAAAATTTCTCAGCAATGTCCTGCCTACACGTAGGAAGAGAACCCAGAAGATCTCTACCACATCAATATCTTAATAAATATTCCTCTGAGTCATGAATGACTGCCATATGCAGGGATGAATCATGTGAAAGCTTTGTAGTGTCCCCTGAATTCTGAAGACCTCCACAGAAAAGAAACTGCTATCCAGCTGCACGCCCCAAAATAACACAGACTGTTCCCCCCAGAAGGAGTTCCTTCCCTGAGGAGATGCCATTGTAACCCACATCTTCTGGGGAGACTGGAATTGAGTTCAGATTCCTGTGCCCATTAGTGAGTTCGATGGGTCAAGTATATCTGAGACATCAAGCTTTAGCCCTAACTGGGAAAGCAGAAAGAGAACTGGGAAAGAAATACATGCAAATTTAGGCTCCTTTACTTGCCTAGTATAACTGCTGTGTAGGAAACATTCCACAAGTCTGTGTAGAGATATAATTTTAAAAGCTTTCATTCCTTTGACCATTCTGTTACTGAAAGTTACTTTGAGTTGTAAAATACATATTCTAAGGTGAGCTTTTACAGACAAATTAAGCAGCAGCTTGTGACAAAGCAGTTATCATCAGGAGATAATTGACCTTATTTGAGAGTTAAGCATCCTGAGGCAAAGTAGAGTGTGCTTAATCCTGGCAGGTTAATTATCCAGTGATTATGGTAGCTTGGAAGGTATTATTGCTAAGAACCATTTGCAAAATGACACCATTACAAAAAAACTTAATTTAATAAAAATTAAAAGCAATGACAATAATCAAGTTCTCCAGTCATGTATTGCTAGATAATGACTGCAGAATGGCCCTAATTGGTTAGCAGCAATGAACATATAATTATTCCTATTCTGAATGTTCTGTACTAAATTTATTATATGAAGTACAGCTAATAAGTATCAAAAATCCAAGACAAGATGTTTGGCTAGTTATAAAAGTGATTTAAACAAATGATTAAAACACCAGTGGCCACTAAGCTAATGCTGAAACTGATACATGTACTCAGTTGTTATCACAGCATTCAGTGTCTCCACTGCAGATAAGGGTATGCTGGCATTTACATTCTAAACTAGAACATTTATTCCGAGAGGTTTATAACTTGCCCATTTTAATTACCATCTGGCTGAAACTTGAAATAACCAATCTCCATTCAGATGTAAATTTTTAAGTAGAAGATGTAATTTAAAATCACTTTGCCAATTGTTTTTAGTTTAGGAATGGCAGCAATTTAGAATTTTGCTGCTCTTGGATGTTTTTGTATTACTCAAAAAATAAACAGCTCAGTGCTTAACAATAAAATTGTATTGGTCTATAATGTGAAGATAAATATAGGGAAGAATAAAAATCGTGTCTGAGAGTATTGTTTGTACTAATAGAGTAACAACCACACCACTTAGTATGCCTTGCTTATATATTAACTTATGCACTTTTAGTATTTAACTAAACTAGCAAAACTGAGGGAAAATGTAGCAAAAAGCAAAAGGAAATCACAGTAAACGGGCAACAATTTGGTGTTGGCTAGCTGAAGTGGTTCATTGCCCATCAAGGCATACCTAAACACAAAAAAATCCTGAATGTACTTGTAGATGAAACGAATATAGGAGAAAAAAACACAAAGGAGGAAGCTACTGGGAGGCAGAACATGTCAGAATGAGCTTCTCTTGAGTTTTGCAACTACTCTTTACCACAAACCATATGCAGAGAGCAGAAATACTGACAATCACAAGATACAGCAGCTACTAAAAACTAGAAGCACACCATGCCAAGAGCGTGGTTTCAAGTCACACAGAGAGACAAGAGAATAAACCACTGCAAATAGCATTTCAACAACTCAAAAGCAGCAATGGCCAGCTTATATAGCAGAAAGCAGAGACTAAAAAATGACCAAGGTTTCAACTGATTAGTATAAGTAACAAAGCATAAGAGGCTGGTAGTCTGAAGTGTATATATATACACACCATACTGCCAAGTTTAAGCATGATCACTTAAGTTTAAATAGTGTCTTTTACCCTGAAAGACACCAAAATGCTTCAGAAATTATACACAGAAAATGCAGGGAGTCTTTCAACTGTAATACACACAACAGTCCTATACAATATTTTATGACAGCAGGTGAATAGTACCATAGCAAACTGAAATGGCAGGGGAAATTAAGGTAGTCTGAATATAATTTCTAAAATTGGAATGTCGCCAGTATAGAGGACTATTGGTTATAAAGTGTGCAAATATACAACAAGTAACAACCTATGTTTTATCTCCTGAAAAACAGCACCTAATGAATCACTGTGATCTGAATTCTCCTAATAGGTCAATGGGGCAATATATTATATAGAAGACCAGCAAGGTTTAATCCCAGAAGTTTCTATGAAGCCCTTCCACCCAAACATTGACTAGACTTGGTTTTAATTAATTTGTGAAATCTGACAAGATTTATTCATTGAGATTATACTGCTATTAAATCAAAATATTCAGTAGCATCTTTGTGAGCACTGTATCGTGAAAGACAGAATAAAAGTAACAGTTGGCAATAGCAGCAAAATGTCTCAAAAATACTTCTGCTGTATCATTAACTACAGTTAAAAAGGTTTTCCTTATCCTACTGCATCTAAAAACATTGCAATTTTCTTCATTTTAAAAAGACTTTTTTTTTTTTTTTAAAGTCCTATATCTGTAACAATGCTAATGTGGACACTTGGACAATAGTGTAAAAATTGACTTGTGTTGGTGCAACTCCCTGTCTCACAGTCAGGAGTAACCACTGACAGGAATAAGTTGCTTTTCCATAATTTTCCTGTACTGATGTAGTTATCTTGAGAGACAAGCCCACACTTCATTTTAGGTGTGTCATACTTTCCAAGGCTTTTTTTAACCTTTTTCTGCTGAGCAAACTAATAAATATTTAAGAGCACTTTCTGAAGTGGAAAAAAAAAATCAAAAAGTGATAGCGCTACAATGAGTGAAATCTGAATCCATTTGGTCTAGTACCATGGACTTCCAGGCAGAATTTCATGCAATCTGTTTGCCAACTGTTGCATAGCAAAGATAAGCCTTCCTTAGATGGACTGCCAGTCCATCTACCATAAAATCAATGAGAAACTTCTAAACCAATTAACCGTTTCTTAGTTTTCTCCTCCCACTTCTTCCCAAAGAGTCATCTTCATCACAGAAAATGTTATTAATAGCAACAGTATGGGTAGAGAAATAAGTTACAGAACCTCACCAGCTCTGCAGTAGCCCTTCATATGTTTTCTTCCAGGAGAGAGTTAACTTCTGGGTGAGTACATCATGCACATGGACAACTATTACAAAGCAGCCACTGTGTTGGATATTTCCTCTTTAACCTAGAGTAACTTGTTGACATGCCTCTACACTAGAATGAACAAGTTGTAAACCTCTAACAGGTCAAGTGACATCTTTGTCATCTACTGAAATAACACAGTCCTGTGACTGTGGATTTCATTTTCTATTGGCACTTCACATGGTCAATCTCTCTCTATAAATAACGGAGAACTAGGAAGCAGGCTCCTACACACAAACAGCTAGGTGCAAGAGATACAAATACTTAAATTACTTTTGTAAGACTCACCGTCTCATTTCCAAAAAGGACGTCGACATAAGGCATGACTTTCATCATAGGCTCTTTGTAGAATTGGCTAATAAATGGTGCAGAAAGATTCAAGCTGAAGATCTTGTTGTTTGCAGAAGCCTGAGCAGCCACTTTTAATACTGCTTCTGGTGACACTGTCAGGAAGAATCCCTGCAAGCATCCAAACAAATCAACGGATGTTACTAATTTCGTATCATGAACCACATGAAGTATGTTGCTTCTAGGTGGTCTCCCCCAACCCCCATTTGTCATACATGTGCACAGATAAAAACTTCTGGAAAATACTGCCTTTCCATTAAGGTGTTATGGAGGTGACAAAGAATCTGCATATGCCTAGAATCACAGCCCTCCAAAATTAAACATAACTCCCTACCTCTGCATTCCATGTAGTACACTTTCCCATGGCAGCTAAGACTAATGTTCGTATTTTAAAAGGTGATATAATTCTAAACGCCCCTTTTTAGTAATAGAGTCAATCAGACTGTGCTGCTTAATTCCAAAGTCCAGTACAATGGCTCTATACACAGCTAGAAAATAAATGAAATCCCTTGCCTGAAAAATTATTACCTTGTTTATAATAAATATGTTGAGTATGCTGTCATTGTAGTAGTTGTTATTGTTTTGCAGGAAAAACCTAGGATTTTTCAGGTTTCCACACAGGTATTTTATTTCCTCCCCTCCCAAAAATATTGTTCTTTATTCTGAATATGAACATTCAAGTAAGTATCAATTGGGAAACAAAATAAACAGAACTCAACCAGAAATTACTATTTGTCTACTAAATCGTGAATGCTGATTTCAATCCTGTATGAAGAACATCCAGGGCGGCCATTTTCAATTTAGCATTGCAGGTGGTTACCTCAACCACATGCATTCCAGGAGCTATGTGAAGATCCCCTACAGTTTCATTAATTTAGACAAAGGCTTTGTCTTTACACTGACTAACCAAATTTTGTGTGTTTCATTTTTATAATCCTAAAAGCAATTTCACTAACTGTTCTCAGAACTCAGTGAATAATAGTAATTTTCAAGCAAGAGCAGCAAGTGTTAAACTTAAGGCCAGAGATAATGTCTAAGGCACAGCAACAAACAACTTTGAGGGGCTCTGATCAATAAAACACCATGTCAGTCCTATCTGTAACATCACCACCATGACACTCTGAAAGGTATAATAGCGAAACGGTCTTATTTTCCAGTTTTTATCCATTTTATTATGTCTTTGGATCACAGAATATCTGTATTTTTATCCTGCATACTTCAGCTAACAGATCATCTTAGGCATTCTACTCACCGGAAAAAATAATATAATGAAGAGTCTACAGATTAAAGACTACTTAGAAAGTCTTTCTATTTATTTCTCCTTACTCCACGCTTCCAGTCTAACAAATGCATGATTGATTTCAAAATCCGGGCATGATTCACTACATGACAATTAAAGTCCAAAGGGCGCAAGAATGCTTTGCATCTTGTGGAGTTACTCAGTACCTTGAACGACTGGAAGCCTGTAAACATCCAAGCTTCTTTGCTATTTTTACATTCTGAAGAATTAAAATGAACAGTTTATATAACATCTTGTCTCCATAGCAATCTCTACCATCTTTTAGTGTTTCATTTAATGAACAGAATTGGATTTTTTAAAAACTGTTCCAAACACAAAATAAAAACCTTTCAAGGCTAACATGTTGCCAGCTGTGGATAAATCACAGATTGCTATAGAGTGGTCTACGTAAATAGTAACCTGGTCAAATAATTAGGCTTCTTACCAATTTTAGGCTGAAAAATTCATCTGAACTAAAATACGTCTGATTGTAATTTAAGGTACAGAACACTATCCCCGTGAGATCTAACTGAGGCCTGCATCCAACTCCCTTTTCCTTGGAAAGGCGACATAAAAGTACTGAGATGCAGATAGGAGAGCTTGCTTTTCAGATCCTGCAAAGTAAAGGCCAGGAACTCTGAAAGGCTAGAGCTCTATCTTCTGGGTTTCCTAAAAGTCACTTCTGCCATTTAATTGCATTCTTCCAAAAGTTTTTTATATTTTTATTTAAATAACTATATGACATTAAAGCATCTAGAAATTAAGAGTTGTGTGTATGAGAACTCTTGTTAAAACTTTGCCAAGTGTAACATCTCTTTGCAAAAAAAAAAGTTGTAGCGGTACAATTCACACAATGGAATTAACAATGTAGGAAGAAAATGTATAAAATCTGAACTGAACAGATTTGGGTTTAAAGAAACCTAATTAGACCCCCCCTTCTTAAGTATTTAAATTGAGTTTGTCTCTACTTCTAGTGGAATTCCAATTACAGCTTTGGCCAGTGTAGTTACAGGAACCCAGCTTCCTAAGTTTGAATTACAACTAGATAAGCCACAGACCATGCTATTGCAGCATGCTACAATTTGGTACAGGAATGAACTCCACTAAAACAAACAAGTTTTTGTATAGCTCACTGGGATTGTTCACAACAAAGTCACTCCGTGGCTTCCTTAGAACCACAGCCCACATGCTCTTGCAGCTGCCACTGCTTTTGGTCCAGACATATGTACGGACCAAAGGAATGCCTAAGTCAACTACTCCTACCTACTCTAGCAATTAACTGTTAGCCAACATTAGCCTTGAGAGTGAGAATAAGCGTATCTCCGTATCACTGGTATAAAAGATTTCAGATTTCGCTAATAAGAAGTTCTATTCCTGCTAACAAGAAGGTTAAGAGGCCCCTCAGAAGATATTCTATACCCACCTACACACCTCAGTCTACTTCTGAGAGTTTTGGGAACCTTTTTACCCTCAAAACCCAAAGGTACCTTAAAACAACTATGAGGAAGATATCTGTAATCAAAGGATGAGACACTTAGTTAATAGACAGAAATTCCAATAGCCTGGGAAACTTAGTGTTGCATATGAAATTAAATTACTGTGTATTTATCTATCTTGGTGAAAGAATGTTGTACATACAAGAGCATATGATAATTCGACAGTGCAGTCAAAGAAAGTGAAAGGCAGCAATATTGTACTAAGAAAACCTATTAAACATTAAAGGCTATCAGACATACTAGCAGCACACAGTATTCCTTTGGCGTGCACTGATTGAGAGTGAGTATACCAGATGCTACTGCTTCATGATGTGCCACTATTTTCTGCTGCTCAAAATGTAATGAGCTGCTTTTCTATGCCAGCAGGAAGGTACCATTGTACCACAAGCCAGAGAGCAAGGCTGAACTAATATATACACCAGGAAAATAGGATGACAATTATTTATATGCGTGTTTGTATGTATACACATGCAAACCACAATGATACTTTTCTCATACACTGTAAGCAGTTCTTCTGTTTAAATACAGTCCTTTGGTGGAGAAAAACATTCTCCTTGTGGGAGAAAGAGAAACAAAAAGGAAGAAATAAGAAAAAAAATTTGTGTATTGCAGACACATGGCTATGGGAGATTCAGTAGCTTGTTTGTAACTTAAGAGCTTTTAAAATTCAATATTAAGATGCACATGACAGCAGTAGACAAAGTCAAAAGAGAATATCATATTAATCTCATTTTTACAATATTCAGGAATTCTTTGATGCACCTTTTAAAATATGCCAGGGTACTGTGAATATAGGATAGTCTTTTACACTCAAGTCTTTTTTTTTTTTTTATAAACGCTAGCATTACCGGAAGGGTTTGGTGGGTTTACACACAAGCAATTTGTCTTTGCAAGTCACCTCTCTCATTTTTATCACACGCAGACCCAAAAGGTTTCTTCTGACCTACACTAAGTTCATATGGCTCTAGCTATAGCAGATGTGAGGGCAGCAAATTAAGGGTGTCAAAAGTGTCAGCAGCACAGAATCAGAGTGTTGAAGGACCTCATGAAGCCAGAGCAACTCTGGGTTTGGTGAAAGTAATTCTGTATAAGGTATTCTGTCCAAACTGAGAAGTCTTGCCATCATTTGTTCACATAAAATAACGTGCTTGCACTGAATTCGTCTGGATTACATACATCTAATGTTTGCACAATGAGGATCAAGTTTGGTTGGTTTGTTGTTTTTTTTTTTTTTTTAAGCCAGTGAGTATTTCTTTAAAGCCAAAACTGAAATCTGTGACCTCGTGTACATTTAGACAAATCCAGGCCGAGATGATAACAAACAGCTTTGCAGTTTTGGATTTATTATTGTTTAATAGCACAGAAGCAATGTTTGCATAAGAACATACAGAGATAATAAAAATTAGGATTGTTCTCAAACCTACTACCCACTAAAATGCATTTGCCCTCTCTTCTTTCTAGCTCTTCCTCTTTCCTTGCCAATCCCATTTGCAGAGTGGGTTACATGAAAATAACTTTATCATGAGTGACAGGATTTTGAGCCATGGTATTGTGAGCTGATTTTGAAATGCCATTTGGTAACAATGTAAAAATCAATAAATCACAAGCGTGAATCAAAATATTTAACTTTCAGAAACACATATACAACAGTCTGCTGCCATTTAAGACAAATTATATTCTGCCAACATGAAAGGAACACATCATTTAATCCAAAATTATTTTATAGCAAGCATTTACATAAAAATGCAATTATGACGACATCACACACTCATCCATCTATAGGGTGGAATTTTTCAGGCACACAGAAAGTTTGACAGTTACGTAGTGACAGTCCTGATAAATACTGTGATTCAGTAAAGCCCTACAGAAATCATCTAACTTCAAGTATGCTGGCAGTTCCAGTAACAGAGTGAGACTGCTAAGGTGCCAAAAGAACTTGCTCTGTTAAATGACAGACATAACTAAGTCAGAGCTTTTGGACCTGGTTAAGTTTCCTCTGTTCTGTACACAAAGAGAACTTCAAGCCACACACTTGGGTAGAAGAGACTTCCCTCAGTTCTGCTCTGCCATCAGTCTCATCTGCTGCAGTCTAGCAGAAATATCAGGGCTTGGAAGGAGTGAAGCTGCAACACATGGCAATTCTTGGGATGGAGAATGAACCACTAGGTAACTGCTCCAGACAGAAGAACTTACACAAGGCTTCCAGGTGCCCTTACAACTAGAAGAGACTAAAAGACTTTCATCTTCTAGCTTCTGAACTGCACGGAGCACAGATTGGGTGCAGTCCATTTCCCACCCACTGTGGCAATGAAATCATCTTCCTTCAGAACAGGAAC